GTACTCGGCCTGGTGGGCCGAGTACTGTTGGTAAAACTGGACCTAATGGTCCATGAGCTGCTGGTTCTGAAGACCAAGCTGCTGGAACTGGAGCCCCATCTACTAGAACTGCTCTGTGAAAAAATTCATCGACGGGCCAGAAGCCATCGACGGACCAGAAGGACCGGAGCAGGACTCGCCTCTCTCTGATCTCTGTCGTGGCCGAAGGTCCCCTGGTGGAGAGAGTGGGGGCTCCGGCTCATCAGCATCCATGGCCCCACCATCATCATCATCATCATCATCCTCCTCCTCCTCATCGGTGTAATCAGCATCCTCCTCGTCCTCATCGAGGTACGCATCCTCCTCAGGGGGCATGGAGAGCCCATCCACCCAGGAACGGGTGCATTCAGTGGCCAGGAGGAGTGCATTGTGGAGCACGTCCCAGCTGAGGGGGGTGAAGCACCCCGGACAGTAGAATCGGTGAGGCCATCGAAGCTGATGTCGAAATGGCGCGCCAAGCGGGTGATCAGGGGGCCACAAAAGAGATAGTTGGGCTTCCCGTGGCATCGAGAGAAGGTGGTAGCCACGAAGGAACCCAAATGCAGCATGTGATCCGGGTACCCCATCGAGTATATGGCGTACAGTACCCGCTTCGGGATCTTGTGGAAGCCAGTGACGTTGGGGACGATAGATCGGGTGATGAGCAGGTTCAGAATGTGCCACTGTGGCTTCAGGGTGCGAACAGATGTCTGGCCAGCGTCTAATTAGTCGTACCCATAGGCGCGCCGGGCTATCCGCCGGTAGAACGCATCCATGTTCCAGTCGGTCGGGTTCGGGACCTCGACCCCGTGGCAGGAGAATGGGTGGTACTCGATCCCCATGGCGTAGGCCACCCAATCTATAGTCTGCTCCCGTGGGCGGCCACCCATCCTAAATGTGACCACGTAGGAGTCCCGGGCCGCCTTGGGGCGGTACTGGAACGTGGTGTAGAACTCCCACACAAGCTCGGTGTAGGTGGGCTCCTCGATTGTCATCAAAGTCCGCCAATCCCGGTGGCTGATGGCGGAGGAGAGCTCCTGTATGCAGTGGAGCTGCTCGAAAACTGCCCACTCCAGATGGTGGTGGCGCTCCAGTTTCCCCCGGATGACCTTGCCGAACTGGTCCGCGTAATCCCGGTGCAGGCTCAGGAAGCAAATACAACCAACCAGTTTAATCATCCGGGCAGCACACATACCATAGCCAATCATACACAAGGCATCCCTCACCCTATTCTAATTCAAGCATGACAGGCAAACACAGTTCGGTCCTACAATCTACAGTTCGATTTTCCAGAAAAAGAGTAATAAACAAGAAACACACCTGGAAACTCAGGTAGAACTGTAGCTAGGGCGCAAAAAAGGGTGAGGGTCGTGAAAAAAGGTAAAAAACGACACGAGAGGCTCGCCGAAAAGTTGGTCGGAAGTCGCCGAAAAACCAGTCGGATGGTCGTCGGAAAGTGACCGGCGACGGGGGGCGGCGGTCGATCGGCGGGAGGCTCTCACTCCTACTGTCACTCTAGAAAATGGCCAAATGTAACCACTTCCTAAAGCGTAGTATAGCGGGTTTGGGTTTTATTGTCAACCCGGGTCCTAGATGTGATGACTACTCAATGAATTCTTATAATCTAGCAGTGAAACTTTAGTGCAGGTTCAATTAAGCAAACAAGCAAAGCAATTAAACGGTTGTTTCAAGTCGAGAGAGGTCACCCGGATATGGTTCCCACTAGCCTGCAGTTCAGCCGGATTGCAATTTACCAAGTTAAGTTCATATGATAGTTATATTGCGGGAGGTTCTTAAACAGTCTGAAGTCTCGACTAAAGGTCTCCAAACCCTCTCAATCTGTGTCCCCAGCGGGCGACTAACCTCCACCGGAGTAAACAGATTGAGGCCCTAACGAACCAAACCTCCACTACCGAAGTAAATTCGGTACAGAATAGTGAATTGGCTTCTCGACTAAAGTCGCCAATTCACTACCTTCAATTAAGGGTGCTCTATCAACCTAGGCAGATATTCTCTTTTTAGGCTAAAGCAGAGATAATAGGAATTTGATCAGGATTCAAGTCATTCAATCATTCAAGCCTCAATTGAATATAATCAAATAATAGAATCTGTACTTGGGTTCATACAATCAGACCTAACACGCAAATCTAGGGTTCTCCATACCCAGATGAATGGGAAAACTACTCCATGGAGAGAGAAGCAAAAGCAGGTTCAGATGCAGAAATCATGCTGTGAAGGATGATAATCTGCTTCTGGCGCTCAATCGGAACTTCTCCAAGCTCAATCCGGGCTCCAATGGTGATGAAGATCAAGCTAGGGCACTTGGGAACTCTGGTTCGTCACTTTCTCTCTCTAGGAATCGCTTTGTCTCTCTAAAACTCGGAACCCTTCACTTTTGGCCTTATTTTCCCTTAAGAAGCTGTATGTCGCGATCCCCGGTCTAAATAACCGGTCGGGTATTTTGGGTGGCGACCGGGTATGTGCAAAATGCACCGTTGTGCAACAGGGGAAATCCCCGGTCATGGCCAAGAATCCCCGACCGAGGATTTTTGCCTCCTGCCCGGGCCCCCTTCTGTTTCTCAAAGACGCCCAAAGCGTAAGATCCCCGGTCATGACCAGATAATACCCGACCGGATATTTCTCCTCATGGCCGGGTATTTTTGCTCTCCAGCACACTTCAAACCTCACTTGCTCCTTTCAACCCGAATCTCGTTTCTTCACCTTGATGCCAACGCTAAGCCCTGAATATGACATAAACGCACAACCTAGCGTGAAATCGGCTTAAAACATGAGAATCAACGTTTCAAACGGCTCAAGAATAGGGGTAAAAACACGTGTAATTAATGGTCTATTAGCTTCTCATACGTATGAGTTGGCAACTGGACTAGCTAGTGACAATCCCTGTGTCAGTCAGGTATTTAAGTTGAGATTTAAGCTTTAAAAACGAAGAGTGACAGTTACTCCCATATAGTTTTAAGAGTTTAGATTTTTAAGAATGGAAGTACAAACAACTTTCCTCAGTTTGAGTTTAAGTGTTTGAGAAGAAGTGCAAAATTATTAGAAAGTTTAAAACGTAAGGGCGTAGACTGACCCCAACTCACTCACCAGGCTTTAGTAAGGGAATGAGCGAGAACCATATCGGTAGCAGCTAGTTAGAGGAGCAGTTAGAGAGCAGCGAGTTTGAGAGGAAAAGTTCGAGGGCAGCTAGCTAGAGGAGGGCAGTGCAAGCGTCACGGAGGATGCCTAGTTAAGATTTTCAGTAGCAACAACGACAGAGACTACCTAGTTATTTTTATTTTATGATTATGAGTATAGACTGGAGATCATATTGAGATTTTAAAGTTTGAGTTTAATTTGCCCACGTGTTAGGGCTTTGCTTTGAACTACAACTGTGGGTTTTCAGTATGTTATTTATAAAATAAATTCCCGCTGTAATTTAAGATTTGAGTATTTTATTTATCAAGGGCATTTTAGTAAAAGTAGTACCTGGCCGGGTTAGGGTGTTTCATGTTTATTTTGCTTTCATTATTTGTTTCGGATTTGGGTTTGTATGGTTATTTAAAAGTGTCCATTTCTATTGAATTTATCTCGTGTTCATCATTGAACATTTGTGCAAGCTTTTTGTCGAGGAGTCCAGGAGCTTTCCCGTGTCTACAACTCCATATCGAGTCAAACACAAAAATCAAAACTGGACAAAGCTATTTGAGACAATGTCTGTAACGATCCCTTAGTGTCCGTAACGATCCCCAAGTTTACCTTTTCAATTACTACCTACACATTCCCACTCAACTACATCGACTCGAATCCCCATTACCACATGCTTACACCATTTAATTATCTCACGCAAGGCCCGCAACTTAGGCTTGACTGAAAAATCCACTAAATCGGATATTCGAGTGGGTTCGGATAAAACCTGAATGTGTAGTTATCGGGCACAAACAGGGTATGGATATTCTAATATCTACCCCAAACCCGCCAATACCCAGATACCCTCTTGCCCATCGACTTCCCACTTCCCACTTCTCGAATCTCATTCTCACTTTCAACTTTGTCCCGTCATTCCTCAACTCCACACTGCTGAATTCACATTTCCAACCCTCCTCCAATACTCTTGACTCATCGTCTTCTCAGAGCCATTAAATCAAACTCCACTAGCAATTAAATGAATTCTTCTTCCAAACCCAAAGTGACAAATAATCTCTCAAATAATCTTCTTCCAAACTCATCGTCTGTTGAGATATGGTGCCTTTTACCGTTGACGGAAAAGTGACAAATAATCTCTCAAATCTTTCATTCTACTAGCACCAATTCTCATCTCTTTAGTGATTATAGTAAAAGGCACCATATCTCAACATACGTAGAGATATAAGAGAATGGTTTTAGTCATTCAATGATTATTATAAATATTTCTCTCTCTTTCTCTCTCTCTCTTTCTCTGAAACTTTGAACGTTTTCGCGATGGCCACCGTCGCTGACGGAGCCGGAAAGGGCGTCGTCAGTGACGGTAGGTCCTGGGCTTCATTGTTTCATGTTGCAGAGGAGAATCGATTGGAGTATTATGAGCCTGAGATCATTAATGGTTCTCTTCGGATCCCTAAATCGGTTAACGAGGCGAGCGCGAAGAAGTGGGAGCATAGTCTCGTTGGACAGTTCTTGATCGCTACTCTGTCACTCTCAGCTCTTAGGTTTTGGGAAAACTGGATCTGGGGGCGGGATGGCTAGGTCAGAGTTTCTATGCTGGAGGATCATATTGTTTTGTTTCAATTTCCCTCAGAGAAGGTTTGTCGATGGGTTTTTGAAGGAGGTCCATGGCATTACAAAAAGCGGATTGTATTCTTGAGAAAATGGACTCCAGGGATTAAGGCGTTGGACATCGATAATTAGCCGTTGCGGTATGGATTAATCTATCAGAGCTTCCAGCTGAGTTGGTTTTAAGAGAAGGCTTGGGAAGGATTGCGAGCATAGTGGGTAAGTCGTTGTGTATGGATCATTCGACTGCGCACCGTGAGAGGGTGGGTAGAGTGAAAGTCTGTGTGGAGGTGAATGCGAAGAAGCCAAGGGTGGACAAGATCAGTGTTACTTCTGATGATATGACTAAGTTTTTTATTGGAGTGGAATATTGTGGACTCCCTCGTTGCTGTGAAAAATGTCAGGTGTTTGATCATGACTGTGCTATTCCGGTTTCTGGTCTGACTAAGAATGTATGGAGGGTGAAGAAGCCTCAAATCTCTGCAATAAACGAGGAAGAGATGGTAAATATTATGAATGAGGTTTCTGGATGTTTAGAAGCATTGGTAGTTGAGAAAGAGACTGGTATGGATAAGGGTAAAGCTATCTGGATTGCAACTCCTTCTCCTGTGACACCAAGTGCTCTTCCCTCTTAGGAGGAATTCAATAAGGTGATAAATGGTGTCAAACCAAAGGCAAAAAGTGCAAAGAGTGCAACCTCTTTTGTGATTCATGTCAATGCTTTTGAGTTGTTGTGTGGTAGCAGGGATATCAAATTGCAACCTCCTCTAAAGAAGAAATCTACCGGGGAGGGCTTGAGAAGTCAGGGAGGAGCCACCAAGGTGGCAAATCCTCGCAAATGAAGGTATTGATTTGGAATACGCGGGGCTTTAACAGCCCTGCGAAGCACACTCTTGTGCTTCACTATCTACATATACATAAGGTAGTTCTTTTTGCTTTGTTAGAAACTAGAGTTCATAAAACTATAAAGATAGAAAAAATAAGGCAGAAGTTCATAGGTTATCGTTTTGCTGATAATTACAGTAGACACAAATTGGGAAGAATCAAGATTGGTTGGTGTGATGAAGTAGAACTCAAGGTGCTGCCTACTAAAGAGAACTTTATACATACTATTGTTTCCTTAAACAATATTGATCAGTTCTGTTTTACTGCGGTTTATGGATCTAATGAAGAGAAGGATAGGAAAAGCACTTATGACTGTCTAAGGCATTGGAAAATTCAGGGATTTCCTTGGATGGTGGGGGTGACTTTAATGCAATCCTTCACCCATCTAAAGCATCAAATGAAGTGACAATTTCTTATAGTATCATTGACTTCCGTGATTGGGTACGGCAGATGGAGGTATTAGATCACACAGCCACAGAACCACTCTTCACTTGGGCAAATCAGCAACAGGGAAATCCTATAGCTAGGAAACTAGATAGGCTCATGATCAATGTTGATTGGTTGCAGAAATTTCCAGACTCAGTGGTGGAATATCTAGCTCCTGATTTTTCAGATCACAGTGGGATACTCATTACACCTAGGCTACCAACAAAGAGCTTCCCCAAACCTTTCAGGTTTTATGATATGTGGTTAAAGCATGAGTCTTATAATTCTATTCTCAGGGAAAACTGGCAGGATGAGGACTGAGGTTAGAGGGAGGGGTTTATTTGGCATCAAACAAAGTCTGTATCTGTTGAAGCAGGAACTTAGAAACTCAATAAAGAGGAATTTTGGGATATCTCTGAAAGGGCAAGAACTATGGAAGCTCAAATGAAAGCAGCACAATTATTAGCCCTTGAAGAACCTTCAGTTCAGCGCTTTGCTAAGGTCAACCTACTTACAGAAGAATATGTCAAACTGAAGCAGGTTGAGGATTCATTCTTCAGGGGAGATCTAGGATTGGTTGGCTAACACTGGGGGACCAAAACTCATCTTATTTTCACAACTCAACTAAAATCAGAACGACAAGAAAGCAGATAAGGAAACTAATCTCCTCGGAAGGAGAAGTGTTGACTGATATTCGGGATATTGCTGATGAGGCTATTATCTACTACAAGAATTTATTCGGAAGGGTTAATTCTGAAGTCAAGGTGGATGAGTCTGTGATTGAACGATATCTGACCAGTAAGCTCTGTGAATTAGATCAGCTGAAGCTGTGTGAGGAGATAACTGATCAAGAAATCCATGATGCTTTGTTTGAGATGGCTCCTTCAAAAGCTCCGGGTCCTGATGGCTGGAATGCGAATTTTTATCAAAAGGGTTGGGAAATAGTTGGACCAAGAATAGTTGCAGGGGTTAAACAATTTTTTGCTGATTGCTCTCTTCCAAGAGGTATGAATTCTGCTTCTTTAACTTTGATTCCCAAAAAGCCAAATGCATATCAGTTGACTTACTTCAGACTAATAGCTTGTATCAATGTGATTTACAAAACTATTTCCAAGGTTATAGCTAATAGACTTAAAGCAGTGCTTCCTTCAGTTATCAGTAGGAACCAGTCTGCATTCATCCAAGGGCACAGTATTGTAGAGAATATATTGATGGCACAGGAAATAGTCCACAACTATCATAAAAGAAATATTTCTTCTAGATGTGTTGTGAAGGTTGATTTAAAAAAAGGCATTTGATTCAGTGGACTGGAGTTATTTGATGTGTGTGATGAAAAAGATGGGATTTCCCTCGAAATTTCTGCAATGGATTGAGGTTTGTCTGAGTTCTGCTACTTTTAGCATTACGGTGCAGGGGAGTTTATTTGGTTTCTTCTCTGCAGTTAAAGGGGTCAGGCAGGGAGATCCTCTATCTCCCTATTTGTTCACAATAGCTATGTAACCTTTAACTGGTTTTCTGAATGCAGTAGCTCTAAATGGAACTCTACCATTTCATCCACAATGTAAGAGGATTGGGTTGACTCATCTCTACTTCGCGGATGATCTCCTGATCTTTTCTGAGGGGTCTGGCATGGCTTTGAAGGAACCGAGGCACATTCTAATGGATTTTTACACCCTATCTGGACTATAATGCAATCCAGAAAAATGTGAGGTATTCTTTGGAGGGTATGATCATTTGTTTAAAGACAATTCTCTTGCAGTGTCAGGTTTCAAAGAAGGAAAGTTACCTGTCAGATATTTAGGTTTACCTTTGATATCTCGGAAACTTTCCAGCCGTGAATGTTCTGTTTTACTTGATAAGATTACAGCTAGAATAAGAACCTGGAGAGCTAATAAATTGTCTTATGCTGGGAGATTGCAGTTAGTGGATTCAGTTCTTTACTCCCTAGTACATTACTGGATGGCTAGTTTCCTAATCCCTAAAAAAGTCTTGAAAGGTATACAGAAATGTTGTTCTTATTTCATTTGGCATGGTGATAAACAGGGACGAGCTAAGGTAGCATGGGTTGGCTTTCCCCAAAAAGGAAGGGGGTCTGGGGTTGAAAAACCTTGTGACCTGGAATGGCGAGACTGATTTGGTTGCTTCTCCTGAAAGGGGAGAGTTTTTGGGTAGGATCACTGGATATCGCCTACGGGGAGCTTCAATTTGGGAGGTTCGAGTGTCTTCTTGTGGTTCTTGGATATGGAAACAGGTGTTGAAAATACATCCTTGGCTACAATACAGATTGCAGCTTGAGCAGGAATCTGTGACGTGGCAAGGCAAGCAATTGGATAAATACTCAGTATCTGTGGTTTGGGAATCAACCTGTAAGAAGCAGCCAAAGGCAGAATGGTGGAAAGTAGTGTGGAATAAATATATGTTACCCAGGAACAGTATATTGATTTGGCTGATTGTGTTAGACAGGATCAATACTCGAGATAAGCTTAAAAGCTGGGGAATGATATCTGACAGTACATGTCCCATGTGTTATCTGGCTGATGAATGTCATTCTCATCTCTTTTGTCAATGTGAGTATATGCAGGATGTGGCTGCTGGGCTGTTGAGATACATAATGCAGAATCACCAAGACTGGTCAGATATGTTGATGTTCATGATCAATTGTATCAAAAACCACAGAAGCAATGGACTAGTGGAGAGCTCTGTTTGGAGCTGGTGTATTAGTGGTGTATGGAAGGAAAGATGTAGACGAGTCTTTGGAGAACCTCCTCGTCTTGTCCAAGTGCTGATAGAACATATCAGGGAAGAGATCCGCCTTTATGCGTGTGGGCATCCCGAGTTTGCTACAAAACTTCAATTGGCTACTAGTTGTGGTAGAGTTTTGTAGTTGGTTAGCTTTTGGTCCCGTTATTTGTTTTTATGGGACGGGTAGGCTTTGAGCCTCTGTATTTTTTCGAAACTCTTGTGCTGTTTTGGCCAAGAGAGTGCTCTTAATAGAATCTGCTAATTACAAAAAAAAATGATTATTATAAATTTTAATTGTCAAGAACCTCAATGAAGAAGAATTGCAACAGAGTATTTATTTATTTTTTTGTCTTTTTGGGTCCTTTTCAAGGTCTACTACTCTGTTTAATTAGCACGTTGTTGGAGTTGCATAAATTTTTTTGGGTTTTATGATCAGGTATATAACATATCCATAGGTATACGGATACCCACCTGATATTCGTTGATATAGGTATGGTTAGAGATATGGATCCATTCCTTTATATGGTAACCACCCGATACCCATCCGAAACTTAGATGAGTGGGTATTAGATAGCCAGTATCCACTAGGGTCAGCTCTGACTCCTAGAGGCTTTGTTCTATATATTAAAAAAAGTTACCCATGTTTTTAATTTAAAATATTATAAAATACTAATAAATAAAATTAATTAAGAATAATATATCTAATATTATTTGAAATAAAGAGCTATAATGATTTTACATAGGATGAAAAAAAATCAATATTTGATGATTGAATAAAAAAAATACAAAAAGAATCCAAATAATAACTAAATGGACAATTAATCAATTAAATGGACTAACCTGAATAGGTGATTGAATAAAATCAAAATAAAAATCTTCCCTTCATGTAGTCCATTCATTTTCAAATTATTAGCCGAACTTTTCAAAATTAAAAGTATTTAGCCAAACACCGTTAGCATTTTTGTTAGTAACGCTCACTTGACAACATGATGCTAAGTTGGAAGAGACATGCGACAATCAACATTCTAAAATTTTAATATTTTAGTGAAATAAGAGTTACAAAATTATTGACAATAATAGACAAATGACTATTATTTTTATACTTTACAAAATACTTGACTAATTATTTGTATTTCGAAAGGAAATGTTTGAAAGGTTTGATTAATAAATTGTATTTACTCTAATAATGATTAGCTATGTACATGATAGAGGCTCCAGACTGAGGACACCCCCTATAATTTAGAGGTATTATATAGTAGGACCTTCCGCACACCCCTAGAGCCGACCCTGTCATCCACTACTGATCAGACCCGTTGCCAACCTTCTGTAACTCCTTAATGAAAGGGTCTTCAATGCCATGTTCAAAAAGCACACCGCTCTCTACGATCAAGTATTTCTGTTTTTGGTAAAATACATCTCCATAGCAATAACTTTTGTGTTTGTGACAATAATAGCCACTTTTGGAGAAGGATTAATTAGGGGTGGGCATTGGTTCGGTTCGATTGAAACCGAATGGAAAAGTAGCATATCGAGTCCCTGGTCCACAACAATCCTCAAACCGATTTCCAAAATATATTTTGGT